AATGTATAGGTGAGTACAAACATGTAAATCAAACACATGAAACTAAGGAATAAAATGTAATTCCCCTCCATGTAGCTCAAAATAATGTAAAACAACCAAGATACAAGAAGCATCCCCCCAATTTACCAATTATCATAAACACGACCTTTATTATAAACCCTAGCTTACATGAATGTACAAAGTTCCTACCCAAATCAATTAGAGAGGATATTCTTGGTGGATTTACCTACCTTGAGCTCAAATCTCTAAAATTCTTCTCAATTCCTTCAACATTCCCTCTTGTTGAAGCCTCATTTCCTTTCTCTTCCTCTCTAGAACTCTCTCATTCTTAAGAGATATTGTCTTTGGTGATGAAAAGTTACCAAGTTAAGAGTCTAAAAGGTTTACTTAAGGGTTGACTACAAATTAATCAATTTAATCATTACAAATCAAATTTTTACAAAAAGTCATATTATGATCTAAAAATCATGCTCATCACAATAATAAGGTCAATTTCGGATTATCGCGCTTCTAAGGCTTCCAATTACTAATCCAACCGTCACAATTGTAATAGATTTTTCACATAACTGACAGATATAAATCCATAGTCATATAATTCACACAATTAAACTTAATTTCACATGAGATTTCACATTTAGCATGTAATTACACATATAATGAGAGGCTGAAAGCATATAAGAGGGTCGGGTTATTACACTCTCCCCTCCTTAAATAAGTTTGGTCCCTCAAACTTGTTTTACCTTAAGGTAGGAATAATTCCGGATATTGGTGTTGCATTTCCTCTTCTCTTTCCCAAGTAGCTTCTGTCCCATAATGTTCCTGTCATTCGAATTTTACCATTGGAATTACCCTGTTCCGTAGTTGTTTCACTTGCCGGTCCAAAATTCAAATCGGTTTTTCTTCATAGGTTAATTTATCATCCAAAGTAATTTGGTGGTAATCTATGACATGTGACAGATCTGGGAGGTAACTTCGTAACATAGACACATGGAATACATTATACACTTGGCCCATACTTGGCGGAAGAGCAACTCGATAGGCTACCGGACCCACTTTTTCTAGAATTTGGAATGGACCAACATATCGGGGTGTTAACTTACCCTTTTTACCGAATCTTGGGTGTCCCTTCATTGGAGTGACTTTCACAAAAACATGATTACCTACGTCAAATTCCAAATCTCTCCGTCGGTGATCCGCATAACTCTTTTGCCTACTTTGGGCGGTTCTTAACCTTTCTCGAATAGTTTTAACCTTCTTTATCATCAACTGTACAATTTCAGGGGCCAATAACAATCTATCCCCAACTTCGGCCCAACACACGGGGGAGCAACATGGTTTCCCATACAAGGCTTCATAGGGCGTCATTCCAATGCTCGAATGGTAACTATTATTGTACGCGAATTCCACCAACGGTAGATGTGATAACCCTGTTCCGTATTATGCTAATTAATCTTAATTATGATTATGATTATGTGTTTAATATGATTTTGGGTTCCATTTATATGATTATATGTGATTTTGAATTTCTATCTGTTCACCGTAGGAAAAATCTGTTCAACTTACTGTTAGAAACTGAAAATTGAAGGTCCTATTGGCCATAGAAGCCGAAATTGATTATGCCGTCGTGATTATCGTAATTTTTAGAGCCTATGGTGAAATTTAATTGGAAATTTAATTGGAAATTGATTCGGATCAAAATAATTCGAGTAAACTGATTGAATTAAGCTCTATTATTAACCTTAATCAATTTGATTAAGAGAGGGACTATATAAGGGCCTTATTACACTCAACTCTTCATTTTGGTGAGCTCAAAATCTGAAATCACTCTAGAAAGGGAGAGGGGAGCCAATTCTAGAGAGAGAAAGAGGGAGAATTTTGCATTTTTGGCTCAAGGTTTGTGAATTTGGAAGCTTAACTCCAAGATCTAACTACAATTGTGAGGATTGAAGCTCCTAGGTAAGTAATTGAGCAAAAACTTATGAGTTTAAGTTGTAGTTTTGTGAATCCAAAGTTAGATGGCAATTGAGACCATAATTTGAGATGTAATTGATGAATATGGAGCTTGTATGTACATTCATGTGTATAATTACCATGACTTGCCATATAGTTGCATATTCGAAGGTAAAGCATGCTAATCATGATGAAATTGAGATCAATGTATGCATGCATGTAGCAATTTGTTATGAGTCCTCATGTTAGTGTATAAGACATGTTGATTAGGTTGAATTGGAAGTCATTTAAGACATGCATCCATGAAAATGAGACTATGGACTCAACTACATATTTTGGAGATGAATTTGGCAAGAATGGTATGAGTATGAAATTGATCCATGGGAATTGAACTTCAAAATGTTGTAATTTAGCATTTGTATCATGTTAGAAGGTTTGCATGTGAAGTATGAGTCATAATATGCAAGTTACATTAGTTTGAATGCAAGTTTGAAGCTCAAACAGCTTGCTGGAAAACCCAAAATTCGGCATGTCCGCTCGAGCGGGGTAATGGCCGCTCGAGCGTGAAATGCTAGTTCCCAGAACTTTTGCAGACATGGATGTTCGCTCGAGCGGAGAGATTTACGCTCGAGCGTCAAGCCATGTAGTTTGACTTTCAGCTCGAGCGTCCGAAGTCACGCTCGAGTGTAAAAATGAGACAACCAGTATTTTTGCAGACCCAATGGGTCCGCTCGAGCGGCCAAAGCCACGCTCGAGCGAGGAGCCCTGCTTCATAAATTTTGTAAAGATGTTATGTGTTTTATTTTCCATTCTCTTTCATTTCTAAGCACTCTTAGGCATACATTAAGTATTGTAAATGAGTTAAAAGAATAAGAAAGAAGCCTAAGAGAGATGTATAGATTAAGAACGGATTGAATCAATTATGACCCATATGTGTTATGTAATGTGTAGGGTCGAGCTCCAGGACAAATCCACCGGCTGAACACTGTGAGTAATATCTTAGTAAAGATATTTGAAGTATGTTATTTGTCCAATTGCTTATTTCCATATCAATCTTTTAACTTTGTTAAACAGAATTATGGACAAATATTTGTTATGCCATATGATTGGGCCAAAAGCCGTCGGACACCGCTTGACATGAATGATTGGGCCAAAGGCCGTTTGAAACGATTGATTGGGCCAAAGGCCATCGGACAACGTTTGACATCAATGATTGGGCCAAATGCCGTTGGACACCGTTTGATATGAATGATTGGGCCAAAGGCTGTCGGACATCGTTTGACATAAATGATTGGGCCAAAGGCCATTGGATATCAATGATTTGGGCTTGAAGCCGTTTGTTAAGGAATGAAGTGGGCCAGAGGCCGTTTGATATGTTCGGGCTTGAATCGTCTAATGTACTAAATAATGCACTAAATAGAACCCTAAATTTCTAAATGGCCCCAAGGCCGTTTGATATATGTGAATCACATTCATGTACCTTCTTTATTTGATATTATTCACTAGGCTTTCGTTCACGCTCATTCATGTGTATGTAGGTGAGCCAAGAGATGTCCAAACCCAGCCTCGGTGAAATATGCGGAAAATAGTCAAGGTTTTGAAGATTCAACCCAAACGTCTCACGTACGAGACTCGTCTTCGCCTCTTTTGTTCTTTTGTTATAATTTTGCTACGATGGCGAAAACGTTGGATCACCTTTGTATATAAACGTTGGGTTTGACTAACTTAGACTTGATTGATTCTGTATGTACAGAACTTTATGTTGTTATTCCTTTGATGTGAGTTATTAAGATATATATATATATATGGATTGTTATGATGTGCCATGTAAGTACAGCTCTATGGACAAAAGTTTTAAATTCGCTTCCATTTTGGCCCCGTAGCTCTGTTCAAATACGTTCTATTTGGTTAGAGGCTATAGGTAATCTTCTGATTACTGGCCGGTTATGACCTAAATCCATGGGGGCGGGTTCGGGTCATGACAGTAGATGAGTTTCCCAACTTCCTTGGAAATCCAAAACACACATTCGTAGCATATCTTCTAATCTTTGTATTCTTCTCTTGGATTGACCATCTGTCTAAGGGTGAAAGGCTGTACTGAATTTCAATTCTGTCCCCATAGCGTTATGTAAACTTTGCCAAAATCTTGACACAAATTTCAGATCCTTATCTGACACAATCAAGACTAGAACGCCATGGAGTCTCACAATTTCATTTACATAAATCACAGCAAGTTTATCCGCATTGTACTGAGTTTTCACAGGTAGGAAATGAGCGAATTTAGTTAACCGGTCCACAACGACCCATATAGAGTCCATGCCTCGAGGTGTTCGCGGTAAACCCATAATGAAATCCATAGTTAAATGTTCACACTTCCACTCCGGGATTGGAAGGGGTTGAAGCAAACCTGCCGGTCTTTGATGCTCTGCCTTTACTTGCTGACATTGCAAACATCTCGAAACAAATTCTGCAATTTCTCTCTTCATATTCGGCCACCAAAAATTTTGCTTTAAATCTCGATACATCTTAGTACTTCCGGGATGTATTGAAAATCTTGAGGTATGTGCTTCTCCCATTAGGTTCTTATTAATTTCTGGTACATTGGGAACGCATAATCTGCCTTGAAATTTTAGTACTGAATTTTCAATGATGAATTCAGGTCTTGGTTTCGTTTCCATCTTATCATAAATCTTCCTTAAAAGTTCATCTTCCATTTGCCGTTTGATTTCTTCGATTAGTGTCGGTTGGGCTGACATTGCTGCTATTATAGCATCCCGATTGTGCATCACAATTTCTATGTTCATTTTTTCCAATTCAAATGATAATTCCTTCCGTTTCATGAGCAAACTTGCCAAGTTTCCCATACCTTTTTGACTGAGGGCGTCTACAACCGTATTGGCTTTACCGAGATAGTAATGGATTTGAAAATCATAGTCTTTAATAAGTTCTAACCATCGTCGCTGTCGCATATTCAACTCCTTTTGGATAAAGAGATACTTGAGGCTCTTATGATTGGTGTAGACTTCGCATGTAGTGCCATACAAATAGTGTCACCATATTTTTAAAGCAAAGACCACCGCTGCTAGCTCAAGATCATGTGTGGGGTAGTTCTTTTCATGGGGTTTAAGTTGGTAAGAGGCATAGGCAATGACCCTCCCATTTTGCATGAGTACACAACCTATCCCTTTATAAGAAGCATCACTGTAGATCACAAATCCTTCGGTACCCGATGGTAAGGAAAGAATCGGTGCTGTAGTTAATTTTGTTTTCAATTCCTGAAAGGCAGATTCCCGCTGTTCTGACCATTCAAACAAAACACCATTCTGAGTCAATTGGGTAAGTGGTACGGCAATTTTGGAGAAGTCTTTAACAAACCTTCGGTGGTACCCTGCTAATCCCAAGGAACTACGCATCTCGGTCACATTAGTGGGGGTTGGCCAATTCACAATAGCTTCAATCTTGTGTGGGTCAACAGAAACGCCCTCCTTCGTTATAATATGTCCCAAGAACCCCACTTCATGTAGCCAGAACTCACATTTCTTCAACCTTGCATACAATTTCTTGTCTCGAAGTGTCTGAAGAATTAAACAAAGATAGCTTTCATGAGCTTCCGTATCTTTTGAATAAATGAGGATGTCGTCGATAAACACTACTATAAACTCATCCAAGTAAGGCTTGAAGACACGATTCATTAAATCCATGAATGCTGCCGGTGCATTGGTGACTCAAAAGGGCATAACCAAGAACTCATAATGACCGTACTGGGTTTGAAAAGCAGTTTTCTCAACATCCTCAGCTTTGACCTTCAGTTGGTGATACCCAGACCGTAGATCAATTTTCGAAAAGACTTGTGCCCCTTGTAGCTGGTCAAATAAATCATCGATCCTAGGCAATGGGTACTTATTCTTGACTGTTACTTTATTAAGCTCCCTATAATCCACACACAATCGAAGGGTCCCATCTTTCTTCTTCACAAAAAGGACTGGTGCGCCCCAAGAATAAATGCTCGGGCGAATGAACCTTTTGTCAAGTAAATCTTGCAACTGAACTTTCAACTCTTTCATTTCAGCCGGTGATATCCTGTAAGGAGTTTTGGAAATGGGTTGAGTTCCCGGTACTATTTTAATTGTAAACTCAATTTCACGATCCACTAACTCTCCTGGTAACTCTTCTGGAAAAACATCCGGAAAGTCACGGACGATTAGAATTGCATCAATACACCCGGTCATTGATTGCCCCTCTAAGACGCTACACAAATACCCCCGACACCCTTTCTGTAATAATTTGCATGCCTTCATTGCAGAAATTAGGTAAGGTGGAGAAATCACTCCATGCCCCTTAAAAGTAAACTCCGGCTGTCCCGGGGGGTGAAAAATAACATGTTTGGACGTACAATCAATAGTCACACAATGCTTGCTTAACCAGTCCATTCCCAAAATTACATCAAAGTAAACCATGTCAAGAGGTAATAAATTGGCATACACCCAGACATGCCCAATTAAGAGTTCACATGCAAGGTAGATAAATGTACAAACTATAGGATCCCTCAAAGGTGAAGACACACACAACATATAAGGTAATGGTTCCATAGGTCTATTTAAATGGCGGACAAATGTTTTTGACACAAAGGAGTGGATAGAGCCTGAATCAAATAACATATGAGCAGAATGACCATATATAGAAATTGTACCCGATACTACCGCTTCAGCATTTTGCATGTCACCCGGAACCAACGCAAACTCTCTTTCTTGCCTAGTGGTGTCTTTAACATTGGTGGATTTTGTAGCTGGCTTTGTGCTTGGAACTGGAGTCGAGCTTGCCGAACTTGTAGTGGTTCTATTCCCATTTTGCCGATCCCTTTGAGGACAATCCCTTACCAAATGACCCGTTTTGCCACACTTAAAACATGCCCCGGTCACCCGATAGCAAGTCCCACAATGTCTTTTTCCACAATCCGGACAAATGGGTGCCGAGTCACGGGTAGGGGTGGAAGCACTTGAGGTTCCCAAATTAAGCTTCGTACTTGGTGGTGGAGTTGTTGGTCCCCTTGGTACTTGAGTATTCTGCCTCTTCCCTTTCCATTCAGAAATCTGACTCTAAGCAGCAATATTTCCCTCTGCCATGACTGCTCTTTCCAATACGTCAACATATATAGGTAATTTCAACACATTTATTCGATCAAGAATAGCGTTCCATAATCCCCCTTCAAATTTCCTTGCATTTTTATAGTCCGTGTCCACCATATGGGGTGCAAAACAGGCTAGTTCCGCAAATTGAGCTTCATACTCCACGACAGTCTTGTTTCCTTGTTTCAAAGTCTCAAACTCAGTCACCTTCTTGTCTTGCATACACTGCGGAAAATATTTGTCATAAAAGAGTTCCAGAAATCGGGCCCAAGTGAACTTTGATGTTCAATCCTCGTAAGCATCCACCACCTACGTGCTTCGTCTTCGAGAGTAAAAGCGCAAGTTGTACCTTCTGGGCTTTAGTGCAAGGAAAAACCTCAAATAACTTCTCTACACCCAACACCCACGCCTCTGCTTTCATCGGATCAATTCCCCCCTTAAATAAAGGTGGCTTCATCTTCTTGAATTCTTTCGTAAGTGTAATTGTCCGATCTTCAGCGTGATGATCTTGCACCACTGGCGGAGGTACTGGTGGCGGTGGTGGTTGTTGTTGTTGCTGTTGTTGCTGTTGCCGTAGAGTTTCTACCATTTCCATAATTATCCTTTCCATTCTGTCTAGTCGTACGGAGGTAGAATCCTCCGGATCATCCATCCTTGTCCTCACCATGATCTACATAACAATTAATTATAACACACACAAGAGACACACAAGTAGACATGAATAATAACCACTTCAGAATATTTACCAGAAACTGTTACAGATACGAATCTCGTTGCTATCTACCACTTAGTATGCATAAAAAATATCATGCATGGAACTTAAGTCTTTTCTAGACGCCCTGAAGCTCAATGGATTCGTGTGTGAGATAGCAACTCGTGCTCTGATACCACTTGTTACGCCCCAAACTCACCCCTAAAAGTTTGGGCATGACCGGCCCAAAGATGGGCCTCAAAACATCTTCCAAAACATCGGGCCCTAAAACGGAAGCAATTAATAATCAAATATGTCATCCATTGAGCAGTGTTTACATGCCAGAATCACAAAACATTCCCATCACATACATAAGTCGCATTCATATACGTATATACAGACCCACATATACAAACCCAGCCAGTAAATGGGGGGTGTAGCCAAAACATTCAAGAGTGAAAAGTTATACATATCAGTCAACGTTTGACAAAAGTACTAGTGACCCAACATTATGTGCCATGAAAGGAACTCTACAAAAACAAAAAGGCTTCACTTTAATTGATTAAACACAACGGGGTTGACAAAGAGCTGCTAAAGCTGGACTAGGATTGGCCTCTGGGCTGATTACCTACATAGATATACATAACACAGAGTGAGTGAAGCTCAGTGAATAATAGTAATACAAGGAAGTTCATATAGATAAACATAAAACACAATGAACAGATATTTATAATTCATGTGCTTGTCTTGATCTTGCATTCACTTCCAAAACGGCCTTGGGCCCAACATTATTCAGAACGACCTTAGGCCCAACATATCAATAGTTGTTTGGAACATTGGGAGGCAGATAGAACATCGACATGTCTCTAACGCCCTTGGCCTTAGGCCATGAGTCATAAACAATTCATATCATGTTAGGGTTGATGAGACATCGGCTTGTCCCCATCTTCCTCGGCTTTAGAGCCGTCTATAATAAGTAACTCATATCAAAATGGCCTCGGGCCCATTGATAGCGAAACAGAACGACCTTGGGTCCATAATAATACCATTGTTCGAATATTACAACACAAGGGTTCCAGTTATCCACTATACCAAGAACACAACCCATTCACGAGTAATAATATATCAACGATAATTATCGGAAGTAAATGGTACACAACATTACACTACTATTACTCACAGTGCTGTGGAGTAGCAATAGTCCCTTCCTGTATGTGACCTACACACAGCATGCAATCCATAAGCCAGTTACTTTTCTTTAGACAATAGCTGATTCGTTCAACTCTTATTTATTTTCAAGCATTTTAGAAGGTTCAAATACACATTTTAATAATTCCAGAGGGTCTATCAGAACAAAAGAAGCACACAAATTTTTTCCCTTGGGCCGCACGTGCAGAAGTCCCCCACTGCACGTGCGGGAAAGTGGGCCACATGTGCGACTTTGCATGTGCTTTTATTTCAGAACGTCAAGTTTTCCTCCCTTGTTTTCTGCACATGCGGCTGTGAGCCCCGCACGTGCGGTCGTAACCCCTGTTTTGAGCAGTTCTAACTAAGGCAAAAATCCTAGTAAGCAAACACATCATAAGGTACAAAATAGGGGAAATCAACTCAATATTATGATACAATACCACAATAATATGAATTACAAGTTTATAACACCACAATAACATGAATCACAAGCTTAACTAGATCATAATTGAAAATCCTAAGTTATTCGTGATTAGATCAAGATTTAATTACTCAAATTCCCAATCATTCAAAACACACAATCTAAATCATCAAGCACTTACGAAAGTGATTTAGATTGTTATTTTCGAAAAACAATAAATCGACACAAACGATTTTTACGTGGAAAAACCACAATTGAAGCGCCTTCAATTGTGATAAAAAAAACCATGCGCGAAACGCCACTAATCAATCCACTACTGAAGAAAGAAAGATTACAAAGATAACAAACAAATTACCAAACGCATCCAATTTGTCTTCAAACCTTCTGTAAATCTTTCACCACAGTCTTCGTCTTGGAATTAATTAATATGAAGTTGAATCCACAACTTCTATTGTCGAATCAATGACCACGCACAATATCAAACTCCTTTGATGCTCCACGCTTGAATCTCCGGATTCCACCAAAGAAGAACACTCTTGAATATGAAGAAACAAACTCTTTGATGTATGTATCTCAAATCATATATAGAAAACAGGGGCCGCGCACTCCGCTCGAGCGCAGGATAGTCCGCTCGAGCGGATCCACTAAAACACGCGTGTGAATAAACAGGTTTCCGCTCGAGTGCTGGAACCCACGCTCGAGCGCGAAATCACACATCTCATTATTTTTGCAAACACGCCCAACTACTGAGATAGTGCACATTCCGCTCGAGCGCCAATGGTCCCGCTCGAGCGGGAAAGCCAAAAAACAAGAAAAAATTACAACTCTATAAAATAGAGTTTGTTTGTGGATTTGGCAACAAAGGGACCTAACAATCTCCCCTTTTGTCAATTCCCGAACAAAACTCTTTTAACAATTTTCCTGAAAACACACGCACTAGACAACCTTACTAACACAACCTATTGGATATAAGAAAACAAATCTGAAGCCGTACAAAAGGTTGAGTTAAAAATAATTTAGAACAATCCACCAATCATCCACCTGTAAATCAGCGAGCAACAGACCAAAAAATAAAAACTGTGGAACTTCATAAGAAGATAACAAATGTCTATGAAATAAAGTAAAGCCCATAAAATCAATAGATATATTAAAAAAAAAAAAAAACTGCAATTCGAAAAATTATATCTAAAATGAAACAACCAAAGTGTATATCCAAAATATACCACCACCACCACCACCACCACAAAAAATTCTCCCCCTTTTTGGCCGGGAGCCCAGTACAAAAACAGTCCAAGAAACAAAGATCTCAATCAAGCATCAGGTGGAGAAGGATGAGGCTGCTGTAGCTGAAGCAAAGATATAATGTGAGCAAGCTGAGTAGAAGTCTGAACGGAGGACTGCTCCAATTGTCCAAGTCGGCATCGAAGGCATCAAGACGAGCATCCAGAAGATCCAACCGCTGTGTCACAGCCTCCTCAAAATGACGAAGTTGGCCATGAAAAGTCCGGAGTGGAACATCAGCCTCCTCTGCACCAGCTGTCGCAGCATCAATCTCTGCCTCCTCGGTGACTTTGCTGAGTTGGTGCGACGATGACCTTATTGTCAATCAGATTTTGTATTTCGTGGCGAAGACGGAAACAATCATCAGTGACATGGCCGACTTGCTGATGAAAGGCACAGTACTTGGTCGGATCGTGGGAGGAAGGAAGTCTATCTGGCAGTGGTCGCGGCTCCAGGGGTTTCAGATCCCCATCTCTAATCAGGACCCTCAAAGCCGCTGATAAAGACATGTACAGTGGTGCGAACACCCTCTGGCCTCGAGGTTGGTATTTTGAGGTTTGTGGAGTTTTGCTGGATGCACCAGCAAAGGGATTGGTAGGCGCTGACTGGGTTTGCTGATCTCTTCCGAGCAAGGGTTTAGAGCTGAAAGGAACATTCCTGGTACAGCGGCCCTTCTCCCGACTTGCCCCTTGATTCAGACTGCTCCCATTCTGAGTGGCGAAAGTGTCATCTACAATTTTTGCAACAACTGCGAGTACTTGCTGTTTGTTCAGCCCTTCGGCTTTCAAAGCCTCAATATCCCACTGAAGGTGTTCATGGGGACCAATGCCTGCCCCTACCTTGTTCTTACCACTTGCCTCCATTTTGCCAAGGGATTGGCCTTCTTCAAATGCAACCCGTCCCAAGGAGCCTTTTGACATGAACTCCCTGGTATGTGATGCGGTTGATGACGGGGCCAAAACTCCAAAGGCCAGATCTGCCACAGTTCTCTGAAGATCTTCGATCATCTTCATCAGCTGGGTTCGTGGGTTTGAGATGATTGGGGTTCAGATGCACCCATCATGCATAAGTCCAGGCTCTCTAGGATAAACACATTAGGCCTGGGTAGATGGACTGTGGTGATGTACATGCTGGTGTCGTAAGGGACAGCCAGTGTGTGGATTAGATTGAGATGTGGATGATGTACTTGGTTATTGGGGTCTGAAGATGAAGCTATCGTCTAGTTGTCGATGAGATTTTGGACCTCATGACGAAGGTGGTAGCAACGGTTGGTGCCATGATCGCACTGCTGATGGTACATACAATACTTGGAGGGGTTATGTCTGGCTGGAAGTGGGTTAAGAAGAGTTTGAGGATCGAGGGGTTTGAGATGCCCTCTTTCCATCAAGACTTTTAGTGCGCTAGTCAGGCTCATATAGAGGGGAGTGAAAGTTCTGCCCTGAGCTCGGGCTGGACCGGCTGTTTGTAGGCTTGGTTTGGCAAAAGGGTCGGCTATGGCGACTGCATTGATCTCGGTGGGTTTGGGAATGACACTACTACCAACATTGGTACTCCCTGCAATCGCCCTCCTCGTCGGTTCACTTGTTCTGGGAATGATCCCGCTGTTGAACGCATTCTCGACCTGAACCCCCAGTTCATGCAAACTTTTGAAAGTGAATAATGGAGCGACTATCAACTTTTGCAACATATCATGCTCGAGGTTTCGCACCATCATTTGCACTTGATCCCTCTCAGAAGAACGATCTGTCATCTGTGCTGCCTTTGCCCTCCACCTTGCTACAAATTCCACAAAAGGCTCTGTTGGGTTCTCGCGGGTTGTTTCAAGCTCTTGCATGGTCATTTCAACTTGGGTATTGTAGGAATACTGATCAACAAAGGCCTCAGCCAATTCTTCCCAGTCTTGCTTCACTTTGTCCTCCAACTTAGAGTACCAAGTGGCTGCTACACCCGACAAGGTTCTTCCATACAGGGAGAGTTTCTGTGGCTTGGTCAAACCCATCGGCTTCAGGACGTCCAAGAAAAGTCGGATATGTACCATTGGATCTCCAGACCCGTCGAAACGGTCGATATATGGCATTTTGAATCT